GGAGAGGAAGATGCGGCGGCCGGCGGAGCGTGGGGTTTGTGTAGTGCGGGGGGTGGGGGCGTAGGGTTTCTGGACACGGTTGCGGGCTGCGGGGTGGCTCCGCGGCCGTCCGATCCGGGGGTTCGAGGAGCGGGGGGCGACGCTCGGCCGGACGATCGACAGGAGTTTGGGGAGCGTGGGGTAAAAAAAAGAAAGGCGAGAGCGCCCGGGTCGATCTGGATTTCGAAATTCAAATCTGCGCGGACTCTGCCTGCCTGCGGCGGTGTTGCCAGGGCGGCGGATCTATCATTGTCTATCGCGTAGGCACGTGGCGCGATGATTTCTTTCATTCACTCAGTGCTTTGTTTGGCAAAATTTCCCCCTGGTCTCATTACCACGACGGCAAAAAGTGACGATCGGGTTTTCCCATGTAAGCACAGGCGTCAAAACACATACGCCATCCGTCCGGAATTAGTTGTCACTCAAACGGACGTATCTAACACATGTCCAGACAGAGGGAGTATACATAAGACGTTTTGGCAGTTCATCCCTGAGAGTGTAACATCCAGAGAAGGCCGGGTTTGGCCAGTTTACCCCTGCTCAAAAGACGATTGTCAGCCAATAGCCAGAGGAGAAAACCTGTAATATGGGAGGAATTTCCATTCTCCAGCTGAACTGAACTGAGAGTGTACGGGAATAATTCCCCCTACAATTGACAAGGGAGTACAAATGACTGAACAAAGAGGGGTGCAACATCCATTTCTGAGATTTCTTGATTCTACCTAGCAAAAAAAAAAAAAAAACTGCTCATCATAGGCATGCTAAAGCTTCCATGGGAGGTGAGTCGGACGACATTACCATCCCAAACATCGGACACGGAATGGTGTTGCTCATTGCAAGGGCTCAAAGAATTTCACCCAGTGTTAATAAGTTCTTAACTCCCTAGTTCTGAAGAAATGACGCGTTTAGTCTGTATAAATTATGTCCAGTACAATGCTGACAGTGTCTTTATGCATGTTAGATAGATGGTCTAACAGATCTACTCTCCAAAAGAAACAAACAAAAAAGTAGTAGCGAGTGACCCGGCCAATAATATCTTCAGCCGCGAGGTGCTCCGCCTGCAGTGCCTTCGCAACTCTGCCGAAATATAGCACGGTGCTTCGTCTGCAGTGCCTTTGCAACTCTGCCGAAATATAGCACGGTGCTCCGAGCAGGGCCCTGAAACAGCTAAATGGACAAGGTTCTGTAGACAGCAAACGCCATGAGCGCCGGTATGAAGTAGAAGAGCACCGGAGAATGGAGCAGAGGGTCCATGGCATAGGCCTTCATAAGAGCTCTGCACAGCTGCAAGATTGTGAAGGCGTCATCAGTATCTTCAGAGTAGGCATAAAACCGCATCACAGAAGATTTGCATGATTTTAAAAGGAAATAATAATACCTTCCAGTGTTTCCACAGAACCACCAAACAGAAAGCGATGAAGATTTTCCTTATCCAGCGACCGCTCCACAAGCTATCATGCCCTACCTCTCTCCTGCTCTTTTGGTGGGGATCATCTTTCTTCTTTCCTGACTGTGAGAGGTAGTGTTCTCGGAATGCAGTCCTCTCGGCAGCCATCGCGGCAAGAATCACAATCGTAGGCAATACCACAAAACAGAGGTGAGGTAGAACGATGACCATGACGTCTGGAGTGCCGGCATGGAAAGTTTTCATACCATTTTTAAGAGCCCAACCTCTGAATGTCATGGATGCGAGGCTACTATCCTCGGTTACAGGGTGACCAGAAAACCAAGGGAAGACCAACAGATAGATTATATACACCAACAGCAAAGACCACACAAGAATCATCCTGGACAGCTCAACAAAAAGCCAGATAAAACCACCAAGTAGATACTTCAGTGATGTATACTGACTACCGCCTGCACGCAGATATGTGTACACAGATTGTTGATCCTTAAGTAGCACTACTGAAGCTCGTGGCACAAGAAGCAGTGTGAAAATCAGAGCAAGAACGCACTGCAGTGCGGGGTGATATACCGACGCCCACTGGATGCCCATCACGAAAAACTCCTTCCATGTCCAGTTAACTTCTGCAAACAACCCATTCACAGAGAATGGCCTCAACTGGCTGACACTAATGTCACCTGTTATATCCATCGCTTCGATTTGCAGCCAGTACCGATCTGGAGAAGGATCTGCAAATGCTCTCCAGTTCCACGGAATCAAATACATATCTCCTCTAGAATCATTGGCACTCACTCTTTTCATTTCGCTGTCGAATACCACTTCAAGGTTTCCTGGTCTTGAGTCATATATCTTTGCTAAGACAGTTACTATCTCATGTCGAGAGAATACAAGCGCCCTCACCGTATCAAAAGTTGAAGCTCCCATGGTGTGACATTTGAAATCACGAGGAGCAGATGTTCTCTGCATAAATCTCGAGTCCAGAGGGAAGGTAGGTAGTATAATTACACTTTTTGAGCCTAACCTGAAATCTATGTCAGTAAAGGAGACAAATCCATCATCAATTGCTAATATCCTCATACTTCTACTCCTTTTCCAATCGCCAATCTCCCACTCCCAGAACTCCTCAACAGGTGCTGCTGCTTCAGAACAGTTCTCTTCAGCACTCGGCATTGCATAGCCTTGGTGCATGTTAGATTGGTAGTAGTGTTCATACAGTGATGGTTCCTGAGTTGCTCGATGATAGTAACGCTTCAAATTCTTGCCAAACCTTGTGTGAAGATGTCCACACAAGTATGCTGCTAATGAGTGCTTCAGAAAGACATCCTTGATACTTTTTCCTGATTCTGTTAATGCCGAGAAAGACATCGGGAAGTGCCCAACTGTAATTTTTGTAACTGGAGCCTTGTTGAAGTCAGTGTCCCACTGCGACAGTGATTGGTCCAGTTCTATAAGCTGCTTGTCAGTTGGATGCCCAAATAAATTCGTTGGGCCCCTAAGTCCGATCTCCATTGTGCTATCGAAGCCAACAAACAGATGTTTCCGACCATTGTTCTGCAGATCCATCCACAATCTACCATATGTTATGCCAAGCATATTCAAAAAATGCAACCAAAACTAATCATTCGCACTACAATTTAACTAGAAGGCGCTAAAGAAATAATAAGCAATAGGATGTATATAAGAAGCACTGACCTCCAAAGTGATGCTTTGCACGCGCCCCTGTCGTCTTAGGTTAGCATTGATGCTATATTTCTCGTAGAAGTCATAGTCCCCACCAGACACAGGTACACCAAAGCTATCATGGTTTCCTCTCAGATCATAGAATTTTTTCCTTGGAAGCTTGCTACTCTCAATGACATCCTTCATCGTACTACTATATTCCATCCACTCCACCTCATTTTGCTTCATTGTAAGCAGATCTTTGCTTTTCCCCTCTAATCACAAAATAAAAATAGTACTTGAGATAAATCCCAATACATAATCATTTATTCATTTATAAACTATTTGGTATATGGACACCTTTCGAAATGAATGCAGCTG